TGCTTGGAGTGGCACCAGCTGCACAAGACACATGAAATATTTGCTCCAAGGGATCCAGAAGTGGCGATCTGAGTAGTATCAGCTGGTGCTCCAAGATAAAAACCATTTCACCATCTTTGCTGAAAAGTCGCTATGCTTCTCCCACACGGAGCAGTTTATGGGGTGCCATATTGTTTTCAATCTTCCGGCTCTGGCCTATTTTGAAATGTGGCTGGATGTTCTTAACTATCTCCACACTCCTGCCAGAAAGAGCTGTCTCTGTGGGGAGAGGGCCGTCACTCCATTCAGCCTGCATTCCTTTCAGTCAGCATGTCAGAAGCTGGCACAGCCTGACTCCCTGTGAGCACGACCTCAGAGGCCTTCCCCTCCAGACCCACTTGGTGAGCGTTCTGATCCTTTCGGTGGAGGGGAGTTCACTGTTGTAAGAAATGCCTTGTCTGGGGTGGGTTTAAAGGACTAGACTCTACCTAAAGTGGTTACTCACTTCTCTAGAAACTCATCTTTCTCCCTCTTGTGTTGACATCCCTCCTTCCGTCCTCCCCCTATCCAGTTACTCATGTATGTGGGGCACAGGAAGAGTTCGGAATCAGCTTCCTTCGTTTTGATTGCTAGCTCCCCAACATTACCTATGATAACCTTGGACAAGTTGCTTGATGCTGCTCATTTTTATTATCTGCAAAATGGGTCTAATTCTACAATAGTATTTACCTCCCAAGGCTGTGAGAATTCAATGAGGTAAAATACTAAGCTCTCTTGGATACAGTAATCATCCTACATGATCTTTGCCATCATTGCTGTTCCTAGCAAAGGTGTATTGGGTTTCCTGAAATATAATAGTGTTTGTAAAAATTTTACTTTCACACGTACAAACCTTTAAGTATCTACTTTTTGCCTTTAAAAGGACATAGACATCTGCTTACAATATTCTTCAAATTCTCAGGAAACTGAAAATATGGTTAAGGGGTAGGAGAAGGAACAAAACAAAACTGAAAAGCCTGCCCAACAGAATGGAGTAAGAAAGTCTCAGAATTGCAGATGCAAGTGTGAGGATTGGGTCAGTGCTATCTTTAGAGGAAGAGGATAAGGAGATAGCCCTGTAAGATGCTGAGAATCACATTGATGGGCAGGGTTAGGGGTGGGCATGTTGGAACAAGGTTTCCCTGTCGTGGGTCAGAAACTCTAAGAGCCCATTGAAGGATGAGCTTGGCAGCAACATTAAAACCTTGTGGTAGAGGGCCTTAAACACCAGGGTGAGCCTTACTGTGTCTTTAAGAAGCAGATGGGAGACCCTGAAGGTTCTCAGTAAGAGCCGGAACACAACAAAGGGGAGTTTCAGCAAGTTCTCTCTGGTAATTGTGCTGAGGAGTGCCTGCCACCGAGAGAAACCAGTGGTAAAAGCCACAACCTCTGTAGGAGAAACCATCCCACCATTTCCTGCACCATATGATGAAGTCGGAGGGGATGGGAGGTCAGCACAGATGCGTGAGGTGCTGTGGAGGTAGAGATTACTGGTGCCAGTTGCTCTAAGGATTGAGGGGTGACCAGGGGTACCAATGATTGAAAGTATGACAAAGGTATATATGGAAAGGGTATACAGAGCTGAGGTTCAAGGTGCTGTGAGCATTTCTAAAGGGGTGTCATTCAGCCCTGCAGCTTTTGGCCAGGCCTCAGGCAGGCCAACACCCAAGGACCCGCCTGGAAAGCCAGGGCCAGTGGGTGGTTACAGGTGCTGGGTCTCACACAGCCGACTGTAGTTCGAATCTCAGCCCCGGCGACTTGGAAACACTCCCGGAGCGTATGAAGTGGGCCCTAGATCCCAACAGGACGGCGAAGCCGAGACAGGTTTGTGGTGTGAACACCCCCGGGCATGCTTTCTCCCTCTCCGTCACTGTCCTTCTCTCCGGCCACCTCACACACACCCTGGCAAAACACACAGGGAGCAGGGAGCATGGCCCAACCTGGCAGGATGGGCAGCTGAGGAGGAATGCGGCGACCAGGCCTGCTGGGGTCTCTCGTGTGCCTTTGGCATAAAGATGGACAGAAGAGAAAATAAAAAGGACAGTAACGGGGCTCATCATTTTTTAAATGCACACCCGTGCATACCTCCCGCACAGGAGTGTGAACCCCACGGGCCTCGAAGTGCCCACAGCTGACCTGGCAGGAACCGTGGCTAATGCGCCAGCCGGGTAGGGGCCCTCCTTCCCCTCCCTCCTGGCCCCAGCTGCCCCTAACCCTCACCTAGTGCCGGTTTCCCAGCCAGCCTCAGAGCCCCACCCCCTCCCAGCTGCGGGAGGGCGGGCCCGAGGCTGTGCAGACTTGCCTGGGGTCACTTCGTGGCCGGAAGCAGCTGCACCTCCTTCTCCTGGGCTCCTGCCCTCCCCTGGCCTGCGGGGGTGGGGCTCTGAGGCCATAGCGCTTGGCACAGCCAGGCTGGGCAGGAGGCGGAGGTGAACTTGGCTTTGGCTACGCGCTGAGAAGAAACGCTGGCCAGGACGCCACCTGCTGGTGAGCGACCCCGGCTTGCAGGGCGGGCTCGGCAGACCTGAGCCTGGATGTGCAGGAACCAGAAACCAGGCGGTTTTCCAAGTTGTTGTTTCCCCGCGGTCTCTGGGGCTGCCACCCACCGGCTGCGCCAAGACCGGCGGCTCCCCGCGCCCCATGGCCGGCGCGGTCTGCACCCGCCCTCCCCGGGTCGGCAGGCAGCGCCCTCCGCGCCCCGGAGCTGTCTCCAGGCCACAACTCCAGGCGCCGCCACCGCCTCCTCCTCCCGACAACGCCG